GAGTTTCGCTCTTGTTACCCAGGCTGGAGTGCAATGGCGCGATCTCGGCTCACCGCAACCTCCGCCTCCTGGGTTCAGGCAATTCTCCTGCCTCAGCCTCCTGAGTAGCTGGGACTACAGGCACGCACCACCATGCCCAGCTAATTTTTTGTAGTTTTAGTAGAGACGGGGTTTCACCATGTTGACCAGGATGGTCTCGATCTGTTGACCTCGTGATCCACCCGCCTCGGCCTCCCAAAGTGCTGGGATTACAGGCTTGAGCCACCGCGCCCGGCCTGGTGGATATTTTATATGTATATAAGTTGTATATACATATAGACTTTTGGCATATATTGTTCAATTGCCCTCCCCATAATTACGAAACCAGTGTACACTCCCACTAACAGCATACTGAGATGCCCATTGTCCCCCTCCTTGGCCAGCTCTGTGTCTATCGATTGTTTTTTTCCTGATAGGTAAAAAATGATATCTCTGTACAGTTTTAATTTGCATTTTATTGATTATATGAGGTTGAGCATTTTTTCACATATTTAAGAGCCATTTATATTTCCTGTGAGAACTGGCCGCATCATTGCTTATTTTCCCACTGATTTATTGGTTGTCGTGGGAAATCTTGATAAAGCAAAGAAATTAGCTCTTTGCCTGTAATGTGAATTGCAAATATTTTTTTTTCAGTTCAGTGTTTGCCTCTCGATACTGCTTTTATTGGTTTTTGGCGTGGAAATATTTTCTGTTTTCATGCGGTCAAATTTCTTAACCTTTTATGACTTATGGGTTTTGTGTCATACTTAGGGATTCTTCCAGCATGACTTCACATGCTTTCTACAGTTTCTTCCAGTGCTCCTGTAGTTTCGTTTTTTTACATTAAGAGCTTGATATATTTGCAATTTATCCAATGAAAGGTTTATCACTTACTTTATTTTTCTGATTGTCTACCTACTTATCTGTATCTCTCTATATACATAGATTAGATAGATAGATAGATAGATAGATTTTTTTTTTTTTTTGAGACAGAGTCTCCCTCTGCGGCCCAGGCTGGAGTGCAGTGATCTCAGCTCCCTGCACCCCCTGCCTCCTGAGTCCAAGCAATTCTTCTGCCACCTAACTGGGATTACAGGTGTGCACCACCATGCCTGGCTAATTTTTGTATTTTTAGTAGAGATGGGGTTTTGTCATGTTGGCCAGGCTGGTCTCAAATTCCTGACCCCAAGTGATCCACCTGCCTTGACCTCCCAAAGTGCTGGGATTACAGGCATGAGCCACTATGCCCAGTCTTACCCCAATACTTTTACTCAATAATCCTCATATTTCCTGCGTTTACTTGAGTGTCATGTTATTATTAATCTTTGCCAATTTGATGGTAGAAAAAAGTATTCTTTTTTGTTTGTTTGAGACAGAGTCTCACTCTGTCACCCAGGCACGATATCAGCTCATGCAGCCTCCGCCTCCTAGGTTCAAGCAATTCTCATACCTCAGCCTCCCAAGTAGCTGGGATTACAGGTGCACACTACCACACCCTGCTAATTTTTTGTATTTTAAGTAGAAACGAGGTGTTGCCATGTTGGCCAGGCTGGTCTCAAACTTCTGGCCTCAAGTGATCCACCTGCTTCAGCCTCCCAGAGTGCTGGAATTACAGATGTCAGCCACTGTGCCCAACCTAGTTTCCCTTTTTGTTCATTTTCTTATATTTGGCTATCCATATGTGAATCAATCATTTGTTTCCTATAACTATTTGTGTTTCTTCTTTTGTGAATTTCTATTCGTGCCACCCACCCTTCATTATATTCAGGATGTAGGATATTATGCTTGCAGATATTCCACTCAGTTTTTTACACTTTTTTTTTTTTGTCTTTTTGTTTTTTTCCTTTTTGTGGAGAACGAGGTCTCGCTCTATTGCCCAGGCAGGCCTTGAACTCTTGGGCTCAAGCTGTCCTCCCGCCTCTGCCTCCCTAAGAGCTGGGATTACAGGCATGAGCCACAGCACCCGGCTTCCCTCAGTTTTTTATTGACCTTCAGTATTGTTTGTGGTTGAAGCTATGTCTGAGACTGCTATCTTCAACATGCTTTTAGTATTTATTTCCTCACTTGCTCTTCACAGCTTTGCTCTCAGGTAGTTAAAAAGTAAGCTGGTACACAAAGAAGCTTAGTAACTTACCCAATTTCATACAGTCTTTTTTTTTTTTTTTTTTTTTTAAAGACGGGGTTTCGGCCGGGCGCGGTGGCTCAAGCCTGTAATCCCAGCACTTTGGGAGGCCGAGGCGGGTGGATTACGAGGTCAAGGGATCGAGACCATCCTGGTCAACATGGTGAAACCCCGTCTCTACTAAAAATACAAAAAATCAGCTGGGCATGGTGGCGCGTGCCTGTAATCCCAGCTACTCAGGAGGCTGAGGCAGGAGAATTGCCTGAACCCAGGAGGCGGAGGTTGTGGTGAGCCGAGATCGCGCCATTGCACTCCAGC